TAGCCATTCTGATGGGTGTAAGGTGAAATCTCAGGTTCCTTTTGATTTGCATTTTCCTGATGACTAAGGACATTGAGCATTCAAATATTTCTCTGCCATTTGGTATTCCTCTATTGAGAATTCTCTGTTTAGCACTGTACCCCATTTTTAATTGGATTTAACTTCTTTAGTTCTTTATATATACTGGATATTAGCCCTTTGTCAGTTATAGAGTTGGTGAAGATCCTTTCCCAATCTGTAGGCTGTCATTTTGTTCTGAAGACAGTGTCCTTTGCTTTACAGAAATTTTTCAGTTTTATTAGGTCCCATTTATTGATTATTGATCTTAGAGCCTGTGCTGTTAGTGTTCTGTTCAGGAAGTTGTCTCCTGTGCCAATGAGCTCAAGGCTCTTCCCCACTTTTTCTTTTAAGTGATTTAAGTCTGTCTGGCTTTATTTTCAAGTCTTTGATCCACTTGGACTTTAGTTTTGTACAGGGTGATAAGTATGGATCTAGTTGTATTTTTCTACATATAGATATATAGTTAGACCAGCACTGTTTGTTGAAGAACCACTTTGGAAATCAATCTGGCACTTTCTCAGACAGGTGGGAATAGTGCTACCTCAAGATCTAGCTATAGCACTCCTAGGCATATATCTAAAATACGATCAAGTATACACAAGGACAATTGTTCAACTATGTTCGTAGCAGCTTTATTTGTAATAGCTAGAATCTGGAAACAACCCAGATGCCCCTCAATTGAGGAGTGGATACAGAAATTGTGGTACATTTACACAGTAGATTACTACTCAGCAACTAAAAACAGGGAAATCATGAAATTTGCAGTCAAATGGTGTTAACTAGAAAAGATCATCTTGAGTGAGGTATCCCAGAAGCAGAAAGACACACATGGTATATACTCACTTATAAGTGGATATTAGACCTATAATAAAGGATAAACATACTAAAATCTGTATAGCTAAAGAAGCTAAACAAGAAGGAGCACCCTGGGTAAGATGTTCATTCTTCATTCAGAAGGCAAATGGGATAGAAATTGGAAGAAGGTGAAAACAAGGAATAAGACAGGAGCCTATTACAGAGGGCTTCTGAAAGACTGTACCCAGCAGGGTATTAAAGCAGATGCTGAGACTCATAGACAAACTTTGGGCAGAGTGCAGGAATCTTATGAAAGAAGGGGGAGATAGAAAGACTTGGAAGGATCTGCACCTCCACAAAGAGAGCAACAGAAACAAAAATCTGGGCCGAGGGTTCTTTACTGAGACTGAAACTCAAACCAAGGAGTATCATTCATGGAGATAACCTAGAACCCCTATACAGAGGTAGCCAGTGGCAGTTCAGTTTCCAAATGGGTTCCCTAATAAGAAGAGCAAGAACTGTCTCTGATAGGAATTCAGTGGCTAGCTGTTTGATCAACTCCCTCTGAGGGGGAAGCAGCCTTACCAGGCCACAGAGGAAGACTATGAAAGACAGTCCTTAGGAGACCTGATAGGTAGGGTCCAATGGAAGGATAGGAGATTCTCCCCTATAAATGGACTGGGGAAGAAGTATGGGAAGAGATAAGAGAGAGAGAGAGAGGGAGAATGGGATTGGGAGGAGATGAGGGTTGGGCTGGGATACAAAATGAATAAATTGTAATAAATAAAAAAATATATTAAAAAATAAACCAAGTTAACCAGACTGATGTTGAACTCACTCTAGCTCAGGGAGGCATAAAATAGTTTTGCTTCTTTGTCTCCTGTGTAGCTGGAATTATAGACCTTGATCACCACCTCAGCACTGTTCATTAGGTCTCTGAAGGATGCAGAACACATACTTTTCCTATTTTAGGGTTCTTTTTGCCTGGTCATGAGAGTAAGAAGAAGCATAGATGATGTGAATGGGTCCCACTAGTCTGGTAGAGAAACCTACACAAAGAGAACAGAGGACCAAGGGTAAAATATTTTAGGAAGTAGCTTTGCTGAAAAGAAAATTGCATTTCCCTTCAGGGTATCAGGAAGAGGGAGAAAGGCTGGGGTATCTGCACATGGACTGTCATCACCGGAGGAGAGAAAATGCAACCAGGGCTACATGGGTACAATGTTGATGGGGCTCATCACCAGGGAGGGGGTCTTATCATCCGTGTACCTTCCCTTATGAATAAACATACAATCCCTGTCGAGTGGTAATAGAAAATGATAGAGATCCCCGTTCAGTCTTCTAAGTGCCTGTCCTAGGATGAAGAGGGAATTGCGAGGCTTTGGGATCTTCAATGATGACAAACAGATTCCTGTGACGTAGTTTACCAATATGATCTAAGTCAGAGGACATTTGTCCTTAAAGACCTGTCTAATGCCACTGAATTCAAAAGAAACTGCTCATAAAGCCAGTTCTCAGCACAGCTAAAATGCTATCACTGTGTACCCAGCAGTCCCTGTATGTTCTATGTCATAGGATCCTGGTCTGCTTGGTCGTCTTTATATCCATGGTACTCCACTTCATCAGTGTGGTTGTGCCCATTTTTCACAAGAAAAGCTGCTGTTATAAAAGATGATGTCACTTCCCTAAAAAGGAAACAGATTGAGCTTCTTTGCCAGCTGTCCCTCCTGGCAGCAGACAGCTCATGCTGCTCTGACCTTCAGAGGATTTGCTCTATCCATCCTCTTTCATGCTGTTGGTCCGACTTACAGATCAACCTGACTCTGACAGAGGAAGGAAAGAAGAAAGAGGTAGAGTGGGAAATCAAAATGGAGGGATCTATACACAGAGGAGAATTCTAATTAAAAGTGGTGTCATCTTGACTTCAACTTGGTCTCAGTGGAATTTAGTACTCATAGAAGAACAATTCATTTTGGCTTATAGTCTCAAAGGGTTAGATGGTTGGGAGAGCATGGCAGAAAGCATCAGGTGTGATGGCTAGAGCAGGCATCTGAGAGCTCAATCCTTCAAACAGAGAAGGGGAAATGAATGTAGGCGGGGTTTTTACTTCCAAAATCTGACTTCAGTGACATATTTCCTCCAGCAAGGCCACACATTCTAAACCTCCCCAAACCGTGCCACCAACTGAGATCACATGTTCATAAGCTAGAGCCGATGGGTATTATTTCACATTCAACCTCCCACAACGCTGTTTCGTTTCTCCTCACTGTGCTTTGTAGAGTACTAACCCTTTACCAGAAATGTAGTAAATTTCATTCATTCACCATCTGAAACTTTATTTCCTATTTAAGTAGACAGATATGAGGACACTCTTACATGGTGCTTTGCCATGGTGGGTGTTTTAGCCAAAGCAGCTGCAACAAAATAATGTAAACTAGCCATCTGACAAATGACAGAAATGTGTTTCCCACAGCTTTGGAAAATGAGGTCTGAGACCATGATATAGCTGAATGGTTGGATTCTCAGGCCCTGGCTTGGAACAGGCAGGTTGAAAACTTCTCTGCACTGTCACACTGCAGAAGAAGCAAGTGGTTCATTCTTTCGCCTCTTCCTTGAAGAAAAATATCTCATTCACAAAGTCATAGCCTTTGTAACCTTGCTGTAGAACTGGGGGAGGGAGCTGCAATCTCATGTCAGGTCAGTATCAGGTCCAGACACCCATTCTTAATAAGTCAATTAAAGGAACCAAATTAAAAGAGGAGAGAAAAAAAAAGGAGAGTTATTCAATGTGTCTACACCAGGAAAGAGGACAATGAGATTCAGAGAGGCCTGCAGTCTATCTTGCAGTCCTGAAGTGAGATCAACATTTAAATAGAAGACACCATATCTAAGCAGTTCTGCAAGGTGTGGTCTGCCCACCACTGACCCATCATTATCTGGGTTTCAGTTTCAACCTCTAAGATGGTCTGACAAGTTATAAGACTTGTATGAAATCTCTTTTACAGAGGCAAATTCCCCAGTCTGGCTGGAGTCCTTTGCTTCTCCCAACATGATAGTTCCAAGAAAATTCCCAATTCTTTGGGGCCCATTATTACAACAGTTGGATAATCAGATTGAAAGACACAGCTGTTTCTTTGAAATATCATCATTTCTGCTACACCATTTACAACCTTACCACCTTCCAAGGACCAATATCGTCAACTGCTATCACATGAAGTTTATGTTTGAACATGATAACTTGGGATAAACAGGAGCATTCATTTCCCAATAAGAAACTAGTATGGCATTGCCTCTAATTTGGGGGCATACTTACAAGTTTTTTTTTCCCTTGGGTAGTATGCAAAACATTTAAGTTGCTTTGGAAGCTATTAAGTGTGCTTTATAGATGTATATTATTAGGAGTAAGTAATTAATGTCTTACATAAACATTGACATTATTTTTAATTATTCCATGCTTTTTCTCTCTGAAATATATGTGGTGAAGATTTATAGGCTTGTACCTACTTCATGCAAATGATGACTCTGGGAAATGGATGCAGAAAGGTATTTTAACCTTGCTGTTCAGTTGCATTAAATGTAATATTAAAATATTGTTTAGGGATTATGAAACAGAACACAGAACACATTGAATCTCCAACATAATGTAGTCTATTAAGCTGCTTGATAGTTAGTCCAATATGAATGTGAAACTTGCCTCAAATTCTCGATGAAACATTTCTCAAATCATACGGTATATGGCAGCATTTGTAGTGGTGATGGGTTCTGTGAGCACTCTGGGGTTGTTGCAGAAAGTGCACTTTCTCTATTTTGTTCACCATATTCTTTGTTTCCTGGATGGAGGTGACAGGACTCTTAGAACTGACATGTGATCAGGTGAAGAATTTTGAAAGCACTGACTTCTAGACAGAAATACTATTCACAGCAAGAGTGACTTTGACAAAGTCATGTGGCTTATAAGACATTGATCAAAGCTCTCTTGAGAGACAGTTTACTCCAATGAATACAGATGTTCCTGTGATGGAGTCTCATTCGTGATCTTAAGATTTGGAATCAGAGTGTCCTCAAGGCCAAAAAGATACCTGGATGGTACTGTGGTTTCAGGATGGTTCTAGAGTTCATCACCTCCTGTTTTTCCTGTTTTGCAGAGAGCAGCAGCCTGCATTCAGCCTTTGTCCATGAGAGTGCTGTGCATAGTCGGGTCTTGCAGATCTTATACAGGAATGAAGAAGTTCCCGTAAATGATGTCATGCTCTTCCGGGCTCATTTGCTCTTAGATGGTGAGAGGGTAAGTCTTGGTCTGTCAGGGTAAATCTACCGGAAAAATATACATGAGCATGTCCTTGGCATTGTCTGTTAGTGGTTTCCATGTGGAGGACTAACTTTGCTGCAGCTAAGATGAAGAATTTGGACAGTTTAACAGGAAGATGCTCAGCCCTACGAAAAAGGCGAGGTAGAGATTACAACGAAAAGTGATAGTGAACAAAACTACACTATAAGGCAGCAGTTCGCAACCTGTGCTTTGCAACCCCTTGCGGGGGAGGGGGGCTTCAAACAACTCTTTTGCAGGGATTGCCTAAGACCATCAGAAAGCAGATATTTACATTACAATTCACAACAGTAAGAAAATTACAGTGATGGAGTAGCAACAAAAATAATTTTATGTTTGGGGGCCATCACAACATGAGGAACTGTTTAGGGGCCTCGACATTACAAAGGTTGAGAGCCACTGTTATAGTGAAATAGGAAATCCCTGGAGGAAAATTTCTTTGTGCCCATACGACAGAAGCTAGATAATGCTTTTGCAAAATGCTATTTCCCAAGCCCACCACAGACCTGGTGAGTGCTTCAGAGACTAGGTGGGTAGGGGATGAGTTGATTTAGAGGTTGAGCAAGCAGGCATTGCTGGTCTTTCTACAGGGAACACTTGGAAGGTTTAGGACCTGGGGAGCAGTATACTGGAAAGTGGTAGAGCATTCAGGGTTAAACTTAGGGTGGCAAGGGCTGGGATGGGAATTTTATAAAGTAGGGCAGGGCAGGCACAGATGTGAATGTCAAAAAAAAAAAAAGTTTCAGGATATGATGTGGGAAGCCATAGTGATCTCACCCAGTGTAGCGTGTTTACCTTGACCTAGAGGTAACAACCTTGGAGATTTTTTCAAAAGGAAGAGATATGAGATTGACCAAAGTGCAAATATTACAAATGAGACCAAGGACATGAAGGTGGTTGCTGCTGTTGGCTATGCGGGTCTTGGTGAAGCTCAAGACAAAGAAAGCAACAGTTGAACAGAAACAGAAGAAGTTAAGGGTTGAACCATGTGACAGCCAAAGCTAGCTCAGAGAGATTGGTTCACTTATACCTATGAGATGGAGGACTTCATGTACATAAGGCAGTCAGTAGAAATGGACTATAAGGGTATGTTATGCTGCTGGAGACAACAGTGATAGTCCAGGGTAGGTGAGGGAAGAAAATCTCCTATTGGATAGTGATAGGAGCTGGGTCTACCTGGAAGGATTATCCACTGATCTTATCACCAGTAGCATCTCCTATTTGCTAGATGAATTCTGTCAGGACTTTTGCTGAGTGTTTTGTAATTTCTCATTGAGTCATTGCAGTGTGATGAGGGGCTTTCCCAATCTTATTTGATGGATGGGGATGCAGAGATTTAGAACTGTGACTTGTCTCCATCACATCACTAGGATGTGGTAAAGCCGTGGTTTAAACAAGAGGTTTCCATAGAGCATACAGGGTCAGCGTGTAGATGTGGTGGGAGAAGGGATCCTCTGGTTTCAATCTCAATAGTAAAGTAGAAATAACAACAGCCATAACAAATTGCATTATTTGAAATTGGTAACCCATTTTGTACACTTTCTTATTTACTTCACTAAGTATAATGCAATAGCATAAGTAGAATTATTTTACTCCCATGTTATGAATGGGAAAAAAAAAGCCAACAGAGATTCAATGGATAGCAGATTCGGGATTTTCACTTGTAAATTCTGGCTTTTGAAGCTGTTTCCTCAGCCTTCAGGCTACAGTGGACCTTGGGGAAAAGGGGAAGAGTCACTGTATAAACTTATATGAGCAGGAATGTTGCAATTATAATATGTAGTTTTCTATAAACATATATGTGTTAGTGTCTTGCAAGTAAGGTTTAGCAAGATACCAGTGAAAGTTATAATCAGGTTTACTGTAGACTCCATTCTTAGAGAATTGCACCCAGTAAATCTGGTGTTCATAGGAAGTTTTCAATATCCAGGCAAATGTTTGCTCAGAAGGTCTTTAGATGATTTACTTCTCCCATTTTACTTCCAGGAAACTGGTGGTAAGACCTGTGTCTCTTTGGTTGTATATGAAGCATGATTTGTGGTTATACAAAACAAACATAAGAAAAGAAGTGTTTACAGAACTTGGATTCAGCAAAATGTTAGGTCTTAAATATATTTTTTTTAATAACAGTTTTTTAAACCACAAAGCCTTAAAGATAAATTCCATCCATATGTCTCTGTTTGAATTATACTTAACCCATAAAGACATTTACAGAGAAGCCTTTGAATGGGTGATGTCTGTCCCTGTGGGGTAAGGGTATTCTTACAAAGAAACAAAAATCAAAATAGGTGAATATGAGAGAAAATAGTTTTATTCTATGAAGATTCATTGACACTGCCTCTGCAGTAGTATACTGTTCCTGGAAGCTAGAGGCCACAATGAATGAGGACTAATGTATTCCTTAATGACGAGGAGGTCAGTGGGGACATATGACAAGAAAATAGTCATGGTGCTTTGCCTCAAGTAGAGGAGCACTGCCATCGGAGTGTGGTAAACCATGGCGTTTGCAGGATTTTCCTGATCCAAACAGCTAAGAAATGTCATCCCTGCCTTCCCGGATACCAGGGATTTTTTCTTTTCCCCAAAAAAGCTAAAGACCCACGATATGAATGCAAATGTGAAATTACCTGATCTTGCAGCCTGTACAACTTGTTCAAAACATTTTTAAAAATACCTTGGGGAACTAAACAAAACATGCCTGGCTCACAGATTTGGCTCGGGGGGGCTTCCAAATGAAGAGCTCAAAACAAGCCATTATAATCAGAAGTGCGGAATGCGAAGAGAGAAAGGAAGAGGCTCATTGTGAATTACAGAGGAAGGCTTCAGCCAGCCAGGGAGCAGATGAGAATCCAAGCCTTATGGCATGGGGGCAATACTGATACTGAATAAATCCAAGGAGTGCAGACAAGGAAGACTAGTATACAGCATATGATTTCCCTATCAACGTGTAAGAGAAGACATGAGAAAACCATTTTGGGACACACATGGAAAGAACTGTCTTTAAAAAAATAAGTAAAAATAAAACAAAGACATGGATGAAATCCAGACATGGAAGGGTGGAGAGTTTATGAAGCTGAAGGAGCTTGAGTCACCTTGGCAATTACTTAGCCATACTGAATGCCAGCTTCCTCCCCTTAACCTGTGGATGGGGATGCCAGTCATGTGGAGACATTTGAGTGTGAAGGACAACTTCAGGCATCACTGTACAAGTTTGGTTTCACTGACAGCTCACTCTGCCACTCTGCACACAGCAGGTGCTATTCAGTCTTTTACTCATGCCTGGAACCCATGTCAAAACCATTTCAAAAATGAGACTTAAAATGCTTGCAAGATAGATTGTGTTGATTTCTTTTTTAGTTTTTGTGATTAAAAAATAAGCTGGACAGAAGCAACTTAAGGGAGAAAAGTTTTATCCCCGCTCACAGTTCAAGCACAGCCTGTCATGGCAGGGAAGCTGAGGTTGCAGGACCCTGAAGCAGCTTGCTACATTGAATCCACAAAGAGGAAGCAGAGAGCAATCAGTCCATGCAAATGCTCAGCACTTAGGATAAGTCTTCCCATATCAGTTAACCTAGTCAGGATTATCTCTCATTTGCATCCCAGAGGTTGAATAATATGCCTAGAGGTTTATCTCTTAGGAGATTCAGTATTTCATCAACTTGTCAATTGAGATTAAGCATTACAAGGATGCTTATTTAATAATTGTTGGGAATACACTTTTACCAAGCCGGCTGTTTGGATCTACTGTTTTTGTTTTTTTGTTTTTCCATTTTATAGCTAATATTCCCAGGTAACCCGCTTATCTAGTACTCTATATGATATCCACAGAGATTCTCACTCTACAGCGAGATTCTGTTTCTCTGTTTTAAGAATCAGTGAGCTAAATGTCCCCATTGGATTGCCAGTTGGCTGCTGAACTCTCTTGGTCTTGTCTTTCAGGTAGAAGATGCGCTGAGCGAGGTGGAGTTTCAGCTCAAGGTGGACCTGCACTTTACCGATAGTGAGCAGCAGTGAGTGTCATGGACATCCTTGGACTGAGTAGGGGGGTTCCTTCATCTGCCCCTTCCTCACACATGGGGCTTCCTCAAAGACAAAGTGCTCATAGTTTCTCTGGCTCAACCAGTTACTGGTAACTTGTGATGTCCCTTGGCAGTTCCAGTCTTCCTGATGCAAATAAACTGATCAAGAAAAGCCCTCGCAGGCATGCCCTGTAGATTGGGTATTAGCTGATTATTATTAGTATCTTTCTAGATGCTGTTAAATTGTCAGCCAAGATTAGCCATCACAACATGTCTGCCAGAGCCAGGAAAAGCTCATTTATGTGGAGTCAGATTGTTTAGGTTCTGCACACAGAAAACTGCTAACTTTTTGCCTTATTAATGGGTATCTTCTACTAAAAGCATTTTTTTTTCTATATGGTACTGATTTGGGGGATTTAAATAATGTCTCCATGAGGATAGACAATCAAAATCCCTTTCAAACCATTCTTGCTGCATTATTCCCTGTGTCTTTACTGAACATTTGCTATTGTTCTCACCACTTTGAGAACTGAAGATCTATTTATGTAAAACTTGCTGAGAAAATAAGCAGGGAACAGTTTCCTTCCTTTTTAACTGCTTTCTTCAAGCTTGGTTCATGGCCTCTTTCCTTTACCTTGGGCTGCCCTATTTGCTTCTTAGTCTTCCTATATTCTTTCAGGAATTAAATAAACAATATTTCTCCTAGGTATGAAAAGGTAGGACAAAACCTCTTTAATCTCATATCTCACATAAGGCTTCTTTCCATGCCTCTTTTTAAAATAAGGTCTTCTTAGTGTAGAATGTTCTCAGCACACACACACACACACACACACACACATACACACACCCCTATTTTTTTTCTTTTTCTTTCTTTCTCTCTCGCTGGTGGATACTAAAGAAAGTCCATTTACACCTCGGCTTGAGTGCCCCTGTTTCCTGTTCTTGTGACTCCCCCCTGTAATCTGATATCTCTGTAATCACCCTCTAGCAACCACTCAGCCTGAGAACCCTATGCCTACTGGCTTCATAAACTTCTACCCATTGCTCCGCAGTGCATATATCTGGTTGGCTGTAGAACCATACTGTCAGTCACAAACATAGCCCACAAATTATTGTCTGGCAAGGTCTTCTAATAATTTTAATGACATACTGCAGTTGAAATAGTTTTTCTTGCCAGCAGAAGAGCAGTCATGGGAGAGCCTGATACAGGAAACTGGTCATGTAAAACATGTGAAATATAGAAGCTTAGGGACAGCACTCTTCAACTAGGACATGTACAAATACCTATGCTTCCTCCGAATATAAATTATAAGTTAGAAATCAGGATGTGAATCATTTTTAAGTCAGGTAGGTTTTTTTTTTCTTCCTCCTTTCTTAGCAGCATGTAGAAAACAAGGGAAAAAAGGTATGTGGGGGGCTGCTGTTTAATCAGAGTTAGGCCAGCTAATGAGGTCATTCTCATAAATTAGTTTGGCAGTGATGGCCCTTGGCTTTGTTCATAGATACTGGAGGTAGCAGTGATGATGGCACGTGGTAGATGTGAACCAAGGGTGCTCTACATAGGACAACGCGCAGAACAGCTCTGTTTCTTCCAAAGCTTTATTCAGTCCCAAAAGCCAGTATTACATGCTCTGGGGCACTATCCTATCTATGCTTTTTGATTTGGAAGGGTCCATCAGAACCTGCTTGCACAGGGTCAGGACACTCATCTCCACATAGCCTTCCCAGGGCCTGCACAGCTCAGCAGATAGGAAATTCATTAATACTTAATGGGATGCTGTGTCTTCCCATGGGTTCTCTTGGTTGGCCTTAATTTTATTCCTTGCAAGTGTGCAGAATAATTCTGCCAGGAGGGCTGCCCTTCCTGTGAGATACTAACTTTTGCTGTAGTTTGTTTATTTTGTTTGTTCAGGTCCTTTATAAGAACCTCAGGCATTCTATTAAAGTTCACCTGTATCTTCTCTCCACTGAGGTTCCCTAGGAAGTAGGCTTTGTCTCCATGAATGGGTGCTGTCTATTTCCTATCACAGAACAGTGATCAATTCTCACTTTAATTTTTCCTTATGAAGGAGGCTTGGGTTATGCCTAAATTCTTGTTCTCACTACCAGGAGCTGACGTCTAAATGGGCTTACATACTCTAAATGCACAAATACTGTACAGTAATTCAGACAGAAAAGAGGCAGAAACTCCTGGTCTGGCAGGGCAGTTTTTCTTGTGACTGTGAACAAGTTAAACAATTCATATAAATTTCACATGTTTTATGAGTGGAATATAATTAGTAAGCACATTATGAGTGTCTTACAGGGAAAAATAGAATATCCAATCAATAGTCAAGAGTGAGATCATTATCATCCAAATTAATGTGAGCCTGAAGGACAACAGCTTGCTGACACCCATGGTTCTAGTCTCTTCCTCTCTTTATCAGGTTTCTTCCTGGTCAAAACATACATGTAGTTACATTTGGCACGAAGGGTTCACTAACTGGTGCTCCCTTGCACACAAGCAACAAGGAGCACAAGGAAAGACAGCCCCTTGGATGCCAGTGGGAGCCTGCTTTTTCTGTTTTCCCTCCCTGTTCTCTACTTGCTAATCCATGGAGGAATAAGAGATATTTTCTATGTTGCACTCCCAGGAGATGCTCAAAGTGGCTTTCCACAAGCTCTGGTTTCCTGCAACCTGCAGAGCCACAGGGACTGTTTCTCAGCACTTTTGTTTAGGGGGAAAAAAACTTTCCTTTTTGTAATAAAGGGTACTTCCGAGTTTGTCTGTCTGTGGCCTGTCTTTTAAGAATGGATATGCACTGATTAAAAAGTGCTAGAACAGAATAAAGGGGTGACTGCCTAAATCTCATTAGACTTTCAGCATGTGCTCTCGATACCATTTAGCCTTTTACCATTCAGTCAGCCAGTTGTCATTATTACAAGCATAGGCTTGATCAACTTCTCCATCATGCCCTGTACCAGTGAGATGCGAGAGTTGTAAAGATGAGTTAGTCATAGCTCCTGCCTTTGGGTGTTAGTAATCCACCAGAAAGTGCAAACTGACAAGAATCCATGCAGCATTTTAAGAACAATGCCCATCTCATGGGCAAGAAAAGAGGGCAAAAAGATACAAGAGACTTGCATTCCTGAGAGGAGCCCTGGAAAGATCTGGTCATCTTCACCATCCCAGAGGTACAGATTTAGCGGCAGTGACAAAAGAGCTGGGGCCCAGAGCTGTCACGTAATCTTCATTCTTCATTTTCCAATTGAGGGAAAAAAAAATCTTTCAACCAGGCAGAATATTGCAGGACTGTGTAAGATGTTGCAGCTACAAAGTAGATCTGCTTGAGTGAAAACAGGGCCAACCAACCGTGCTCTAAGCGCTCACTCCCTTGCCTTTCAGGCTGAGAGATTTGACTGGGACACCGATGATCAGCAGTCGCACACTTGGCCTGCACTTCCATCCCCGGAGGGGTCTGCACCACCAAGTCCCTGTCATGTTCGACTACTTCCACCTTTCAGTGATCTCGGTAACCATCCACGCTGCCCTGGTGGCTCTGCAGCAGCCCCTGATCAGGTATGGAGTTAGAAGCAGCACTAACACTCATTACATGCATCTCTGAGAGACAGTTTGCCAAAGGTGATCAGCACAAAGTAGAGCAGCTTGTTCCTGGTTGGAGACTTAAGCTTGGGTCTCACCGTGTTCCACAGAAGTGGGAGCATGCAGGAGAGAGCCTCAAGATCCGAGACGACTTTGGGGGATTCCGGGGATGGATGGCTTACAAACTATAGCCCACACCTCAGGGATTCCGTTCTTCCATGGCCTCACATATACCTAGTAGTGCCTTGAGATGCTCCTCATGTTTCTGATACATAGTCTCTGTCTGTAAAATTGTGATTACCATCAACATCTATATAAAGTTGTTTTGCCTTTTTTGTTTTGTTTTTTTTCAATTCCTTTGATTTTTTTTCTATATATCAGGTTTCCATCTCTTTATTACTTGAAATTCAATTTAAGTTTAAATAATGTATACATTGGCACCTTCATATGTGTATATGATTCACTCTGATTATTCTTACTCCCAAATCCTTTTTCTCTCTATTGAACTCCCGTAAATCTTTTTTCTTCCCTATAAGTTCTTTTAACACATTTATGTCTTTTGTGTGCTGAGTGTGTGTGATTAACAAGGGCCATTCATGTGAAGTTTTAGTGAATCTTAGAGGACAAGACTAGCATGTCAGGGATCCACATCTGTTCCTTCTCAGAGTCCCTGTTTGCTCAAATATAGGTTTGTTTTTAAGATGCTTTGACTTTGCCTTTCATTGACTCACACTAAAGCATCTCTAAGGGGCAGCGGAGAACTTAGGTTTTCTTCATTGTAAAAGTGGAAGGACAGAGCTCATGAAAACTATTGAGGTGGGCTGTGCATGGCCATTCAATAGTGTCTCATAATGGCTGAATATGTTCATGTAGATAATTTTAAAAGACTGAGAACATGTGAGTAAAGTTACATATGCATGCAGTGGGATATTTAGGGTAAGTTCCCTTAACACGGAGGAAGAGAATTTGTCCCAATATCTGTTCTAGACAGCTTCTAAGATTTTGTATGTGTGTCAGAAAAGCACAGTCCTCACTGCTTTCAATGTCCATGCTCTAAAAGCTCTGATCTCTGTTAGAGTCTGAGAGTAGAAAATGAGATATTTGCTCTTCCACATAAGATGAGACTTCATCCCTTGACCCAGTTTTGCTCCCTGCTCTACTGACCAACAGAGTCAGTTCAGGTTCTCAGTGACAGTAGATAAGATGATACATATTGAATAACTAGGACAAAAAGCATTGCCCAAAGACAGGCAATGTTTGGCTGATGGGCAAGGTGAAATGATTCTTAAAAGGCAACCCTGGATTTCAGGGAGGGAGTATGGAAAAAGTGCTAGCACTTAGCAGTGGAAAAGTCTGCATAGGAGTTAAAACAGCACCTATAGCAAAGAGCAGAGAGAAAGGGGAATTCAAAGGTGCAGAGAGCCAGTAAGCAAAAGGTGTTAGTGTGGAGCTGAATGTCAAGGTCAAATAGTCCATGGTCTTCTGTACCTAATGTTCTCTTGCCCCAAGCCTTTCTAGCTCCTAGACTAAAGGTCCTAGATTGGGGGAAAGGAGGAACATGGGTCAGGGGTCAATGTTTTCTTCCCTCATCATTTCTAATGAGTGTGTATGGCAGACCTGCTGTGCTCCAGTAGAGGCATTAGGATATATACAGTGGGTTCGCAAAGGACATGCAGGGCCCTTGGAACAGACCTTTCCTTCACAGAGCTCTGATAAGGGTATGTTGAGTCACATAGGGTGTTATATAAGAATGCTAGAAAGATGTTATAATGTAGAAACATGGAAAGCAACTCTAACCTTGGGAAGCTGCAACTCCTGCAAAGCACATTCCCCATCTGGATGGCTCCCTTGGATCGGGAAACACTGCTTCAGTGAATGTCTCAGGGTTGGATCTGTGTGCCAAGGGTGAGACAGAGCATCTGTGCCCTGAGGTCAATGTAGACAGCAGCTGGAGACCAGACAACAACTCAGATAGGAAAGGAACTGGTCTCATGGGGCTTGGGGTCCCAGAGAGTAAGGGACATCTCTTTGTTTAATTCCATCACTAACGTCCTTGGTGATCACGGAATAGCTTATCTCACATCTCTAAATATCTGTTTCACCACATAGACACATAAATTTACATACAAAATGAAGAATTTTGTGACAATAAAGCAGCAGAGATTATGGCTATATAGAACAAAATCATATAGACTGTCACACATGATGAGTACGTGTGTATGTAAAGGTGCTTGAAGCAATTCTAGAAACATGGAAACAAACAGTTCTAAGACGCATGTATTGTGTGACCTTGGCTCTAAGAGACTAGAGTCTGTCAGTCGTCCACGTGGATTAGCTTCCAAACCAAGTGGTGTGCAAAGTACTGGGGAGGCCTGAGTAGAGTATGTGCTAAAAAAAAAAATGGTTTCAGGGCTGGGGAAGCCCCAAGTGCCAAATCTGAGTCCCTACTTTCTCACTCTGTTCACTTGAGCATGCGGGATTCAGTTTCAGTCTGCAGCAGGAAAATATTGAAATATTCGATGACAGCACATAGGAAGAAGCCCTTGGGTATATATGTACCCAATAGATTTTCTTTTATAAAGTACCCAGCATATTCTGGGATACCCATTTAGCACTGATAAGCTCCTGACAAATGGCAGGCAGGTTGCATCGAGGGGTTGAACGTAAATTAGTTGAGTATACAGAGGCACTGAAGGCTTGTACCTGAGAAAAATCAAGTCTTATCCTCCTCAAAGCTCCCTTAGGCAGGAGGGCCAATAGTTCAGGCAGGATGACATGTGAGAGGTCCGAAAGGTCCCTAGCACCTGGTGTTACCTTTTGGCTCTAGTGGTGCTAAGAGCTCTGATGCCATCTTGCTGCGGGTTTGGAGTCAGAGTATCTCAGAAGAAAGTTTAACCTTCTGATAAATAGCATACTCTGCAAGCTTTTCAGCAGCAGCCTTCCAGATGGGAGCACACACAGCTGCTGGAGAGTTAAACTTCACAGATGGGGTAAAAATAGAACCGCCTTCCACTTTCTGGGTTTTGCAAGAATTTTTGTCTTGGTGCATGGTAGCTGGGAACAAAGGGAACCCTCTAAGTGGGAAATACCTGTCAAATAGAGCAAGCACCAGCCTTTTCAGAAAAACTCTCTTAACACGTTAGATCCAACAAGGATGAAGCAGAAACCTCAGAAGACCCTTAACCTTCACTGAGAAAAACAAAAAAACAAACCAAACCAAAACCGAGTCTTTAATTGTCAAATAAGTGCAACTGAGTCTTACTCAGAGGCTTTGTTCCATATAAAAGCTAACAAGTATCTTAGTTCTTTGTTGGCAGATGTCTTAGAGAAAGAGTTATGAACCATGAATGTATATCAAAAACATGCACATGTTTTTTTAAACTCTGGAATGTCTCTACTAACTCCTTCTGGCGGAATGGTAAACTTGCTTTAACTCTTGGTTCAACACAAGTCCAAAGGCAGATGTGGTGGTACGCACCTGCAATCTCAGCACACGGGAAGTGGGTGAGCAGGAGGGCCAGGAGCTTGACCAAGCTGGCAGAAATAAAACCCTGTCTCATAAACAAAAACAAAAACAAAGCAAAACAAACAAAAAAACAACAGAAACAAACCCAAACCAAATCAGAACAAAGCAAATTCAGGTAGTATTAGTATTATATGATGCCATTGTCCCTCACTGAGGCAGGGAACCCTCAGCTACCAAAATACCAGAAGCTCAAGACACTCATTCGAAATGATATGTTTTCCTATTACCCATGTATATACTACTCCTGCATGCTTCAAATCATCCTTAGATTACTTACAATACCAATACAATTATAGCCAAGGGGTTACATAAAATTGGCATCCCATGTGCCATTGCATGTGTCGATGCGCAGTGAGTGACTCAGTGAATTTGATATCAGTTATCTTATCAAGAATAGTTACTAACTAGCTTTTATTCAGTATCCTTGTTTGGTACGCCTTACACTGAAAACTAGCTTTTGCTACTGCTGCTGTCAGGAGTCTCTGTGATGCCCCACGGCTCAAGCGCACTATTAACCCTTCTGTCTAGAGATGAAGTAGGAGGTTCAATACAGCCCAGGCCCTAACATGTGGGTGGTGCCGCTAGTTTGTAACTCCTGCTAGCTGCATCGTCATGGCTGTCCACTGTGCCACACCATTTCATAAACCTCTCCTCTCTGCTTATTGGCTGCTGTTTGTCCCCATTGCATTCCCGTGTTGACTCATCATTGGAATCCCTTTCTAGGCTTGTGTGTGCTGACATGTTGCTACTCCAACACCTCACACACTCCGTAGCTTGTTGCTAAAGACTAATAATATTTGAGTAAATGAATTAACTAGATACATAACCTTAACTTTATTTCTCTGTCAACATTTCAACCAGGAATATGAGTTTCTTGTCTGAAATGTGCACCAGTAATCTCAAGCAACTAGAACAAAGATGATGACCTCTGAGGCTCTGAGGACATTTTTTGGTGGGAACATTTTTTTTTTTTTGCCATGAGAAACTATTAGTCTCTTTAGGAGGTTAAAAGATACCTGCAAAGGGGTTTTGTGGTATAAATCATAAATTTAAAAGAACAATTAGAATTTTAATTTCTTTAGAATTTCATACGAGAGTAGAATATTTTTATTCCCTCTCTCCTTTTTCCAACTTTGCCTGTGCCCTCTCTACTCCCTCTCATACTAATGACCTTATGCCCTTTTCTTCTTTGATTATTATTACATTATATATTTGTATACACACACAACACCTGTGTGTATATAAATACAGCCTGCAGAGTCCATTTAGTATTGCTTATATATGTATGTATATATATATATATATATATATATATATATATATATGTGTGTGTGTGTGTGTGTGTGTGTGTGTGTGTGTGTGTGTGTGTGCTTAGCGCTGACCATGTGGTATTGCATAACCTATCAGGTGGCTTGTTCTTTCAGAAGACTGATTCTTTTCCTCCCTCAGCAGGCGATCAGTTGCCTGTAGCTCTTCACCTAGAATTAGGGTCTTGTGAAATTTCCCCCATGTGAAATGCCATGGCAACTGGTGTACTCATTGTGCATGTCTTCTTTAGACAACTGTATATTTGAGATTTCATGGGTGTGCTTTCCTGTTATAATATAGAAGACATCCCAACCCCACATACCATTCTGAATACATGCAATCTCATCTGAGTTAGTACAATTTTAATAGATGAGATCTGAAAGAAGGGTGACTGGGGGATATGCAGGTTTTGCTTATATATTATTAGACGAAATCACCAAGTGTAAGGTAGAGAGAATGACCATATCCTCAAATATGATATGATCATATGACCTCTTCACATTGCCAATTGAGTTTGACATTGATTATGGCCAACACACCTTACAGATGTTCTTTATAACCAACCTGAAGTGGACAAAAACCTGCATAATTTGCTGTTGAAAAGATTACAGGTTCTCACATGGGATGGATATAGGGAATGCTCTGTTGATTATAACAGACTAGGACATAGGGCTTGGTTCCTGCATGGATTAAGGAGATGAATGTTATTTAATGTCTTCCCCAGGAAGGTAAGCAGAAGCAGGGAGGGAACTGAGGTTAGAAGGAGCTCATGGCAGGAGATGACTCCATGAGGGCAGAAGCATGATTAACTTGGGAGTGGTCCTTTTACTCTGGTCAGGAGTTCCTGTCTGCTTCCCAGAATTGTTATTTCCCTAGAACGGGGCCTCAGCAACCTTTCGGCTGATGGGCGTACAGGCATTAGGGAACCTTCTGTACAACTATTGAAGTGTATCATCCAAGCATACCTACCCCTCAGACAGCCTTGATAGCACAACACGCACACCCTCCTGCGGGAATCCCCCTAGATCTATGCCACAGGGTGCTCAATTGCAGTGCCTACCCCTCTCACAGAGGCTTAGTTAACCCAAGATAACTTGTCTCCTGTTTTCCCCTCCCACTTCTTTCTAGTTTCACTCGTCCAGGAAGAGGCTCCTGGTTAGGGAAAGGCGGCCTAGACACAGGACCAGAACAGCCCATGATTTCTTTGGAAAACTTGGTCTTTGGAGCTGGATACTGCAAGCCGACTTCTTCAGAGGTAACATGCGAGTGGGGCCATGCCCCCATATCCTGCAGTTCTCACCTTGCAAGGAATTTGTTCTATGAGGTTCTGTCTTCATTCATATGTTGCTTTAGGGCACTATCTGGCCATTTCTTTCAAGGCCCATCCAGCTTTCCACTTCTCACTAATCGTCTCTCAGACAAATTCTGAGTGTCAAGCCCTGCAGTAGTTGTAGTTTTCATGGTCTTATGGTCTCTCTTCTTTTGGAGGTGAGAGGTCTCTAGCAGGGGCACTATTGCGAGAATGTTTCCTTCCCACTCTGTGGTGAGAGTGAATGTCTGTTGTCAGTAGGTCATGCCCATTTTTAAAGCCTGGGTCCACCTTCTGCTTACTCCCTTTCCGTGTTTCTGTCATCCCACATCTAGAGTGGCATCACTAAGAACCACTAACTTCACGCGCAATTACATACTATCAGTGTTGTCCTAAATGTAAAAGTCTTAGCCTAGTGCCTGGTGGTTAATAAATAAACATGTCTACCTTTCCATTCCCTTCGCTTCTTCCCAAGAGATGTCTGCTATTACTCTTCTCTCATCACTGCATGTATTGCTCTTAAATACAAGAGACACTTTGTTAGTGTCGTCTTCAGAAAAAAGCAGCCAGTATTACTCAGGGTCGCCCAGAGACACAGAACCAACAAAAATGATTCCTCCTGTGTTGTAATGACTCACAAGATTCTAGAGGATGAAAGGCTGGGGATCTGCATTCAGCAAGCTGGAGACCCAGGAGAGCTAATGGCAGAGTTCCAGGCCAAGTCTAAGTCCAGAAGCTGGGTAACAGTGTCACTTAGGAGAAGCGACTTTTCACTTTGTTGTATTCAGGAACCCAGTGGATTGGACCAGCCCTGTCACTTTTGGGAGGGAGATCTCTTTCACTCAGGCAGATCCTTTGTAAAGACACCCATACTGACAGCCACAGCAGTGATTAACCAAACTTCTGGATACCCCAAGACACAGACAAATAGATACAAGAGATTTATCACGGTGAAACACGTGGCAGCAATGTACAAGACTGTGCTTAGCCAGCCCTGCTCATCTTCTGGTACTGCAGGCTCTTTGGCCAGACTATTCAGGAAATGCAATAAAACACATACTTTCCTTTTCTGGATTTTCCCTAGTTTGAGATCTAGCCAGATCTGGCTGCAAATGTCACGTCTCTCTTTGGATTAAGCTTCTGTGTCATATGTTTTCATGGTTCTGAGGACCCCAAGGAAAGACAACCACAATTCCCTTGGAAAGATGGAGAACTGAGTGTATAGTAAAGCTTGATATCATGCCGGGCTTTAGAGAACAATAAGAACAGAATAAATACACACCCTCAATACCCCTGACACTCACCAAGCTTCCCGGAAGCGGTGTGCTTCCTTCCTACACAAGAACCTCAAATGAGTGGGAGAGAGAGAGGGGAGAGCTAAGAGTCTGCCAGCATAACATGGCCACCTCTCTATGCATCACAAAATTTATGTTTCAGCATGGGGGTGGCCAGAAGAGAAGGCTCTCCACCCTCAAGTTCAACAACAGACCCCTCATCCCACAGGAGATGTGTGGCGTGTCCCCAAGTTATCTGCTAATTCCCCTGCTGCTGAGACATTGACAGCTGACTCCCACACAGGAACAATCACTCTGTCCAGCTTCCCATCACAGTTCAATCTTCCCTGTGCCAAGATCTGCCTCTCTCACAGCACTATGTGGTAGTTTTAAGAGTCGTCTCCCCAATAGACATACCACCTAAAAACCTTCATCTCAGACTCCTCTTAAGAGAACATGGCCAGAGGCATTGGTAATTCTCAGACCAATTCAGAACATTTACAGAAGGTGCTTCGGTGCAGAGGTCCTTAGCTGGTGCCAGTGAAGTGTGTGAAAGGGTCAAAGGCTCCATCGACTTTGGGAGGTGCTCTGTTGTTCAGGGACATTTGCATCAACCAGGACCATTTGTACCATCACTACTGAGATGGTGCTTTCTGATTTCCTAAATGTTCTAAGTCTCTGTGGCTCCCCTATGCAGGCACTCTGAATAGCTCAGAGTAGTCATCATCTCATTTAGCTTCATCCCCTAGGACCTAACAAGTCACCTGGTCAACAAAACCAGTGCTTAAGGCATATATGTTGGATAGATGGTTGACACAACTGTGTATGCCATGCTGGTGCAGAGTTGCACAGCTGGAGATTCGGGAGAGAGGTTACTCACTGTAGCAGATAGAAAGTAAAGAAGGACTCACAAAAACTTTGACCCAAAATTTTCCCTGCCTATAAGATGTGCAGGGATAAAGATAGAGAGAAGATAGAGCAGAGATTGAGGGGAATGTCCAAACAATGACTGGCCCAACCAAAGACCTACCATATGGAAGAGTGCCAACCCCTGATGCTATGAATGATGCTCAGCCAAGCTTGCAGACAGGAGCCTATCTGACTTGTCCTCTGAGATGCTCTACCCAGCAACAACTCAAAACAGATCAAGAGACTCACAGCCAAACATTGCACTATGCGTAGGGAGTTTTGTGGAAAAGTGGGAGGAGAGAGAAAAGGACATACTCAAGGGAAGAGGACATACTCAATCCTAATGCAACTTGATGAGATGGGGTGGATGGGAAGGGGGGTCCCCTTTTCTGAGGAATAGGAGAGGGGTAAAGCAAGGAGAATGGGACTGGGAGGCAAAGATGGATGGGGCTACAAGCAAGATGTAAAATGAATAAAAATAAATTTTTTTTTTTTTAAAGAGAGAAGGAGCCACAGTGTGCTGGGCCATGTTGGGAAATTGCAAAGACCCCAGAACCAGCACAGGGTAGGGTCATGAGTACCATAAAACATTCTAGACCACTGGACTTTTAAACTTGACCTAGCACACTGCTTGATACTGTTGTAATGTGTCACCTTCTGTGACTCCTTACAACATGGGGAAGCTGGTGCTTATAGAAACTCAGTTTGCCCAGTTGTGAAATGGCTGCTGTCTTTCAGGAAGACATCAGAGATTCATATGTTTTATATAACTCTTCCTGGCAGGAAGATGATGCAATATTGTGGGACTTGATTGTTTATTTTCCTATTTTTCTTGGCTCGGTGTCAAATTAAATGTGACCATCTTTCCTATGTTCAGAGAGAAGGGCTGACTTGTGAGTATTGGCACTGGGCTTGCTCTTGAAACTTGGCTTAGTGAGTTGTTTTCGGGGCTTGGTTCTTTTTCTGTATGTTTTCCATTTGGGTTCCATCCAGTTATGTGGAGTCAGGGCTGTGTGCCCACCCTGTACCTTCCCACCAGTCAAGGCTGCCAAGCAGAGAATCCAATCTCAGTTCCACATCCCCTTGAGAGCTTTGCATCCAAATCTAAAGAAGCCCAGAGCATTAGCAGAGTACCAGAATCCGAATGGGCTGATGCATCAGCTGGATGTATCAGAGTACACGTGCCTCTCCCAGTAAGCCCTTCTTGGCAGAGGGCTGTAAAAAAACTGGAGATTCACTGGCAAAATGAGCTTTTTTGAGCAAACAGCATTCCAGGAAGGTAAAGGATGATAATGCAGTTGGATCTGCCCTGTTTCTCAGATCCCTGTGTCCTGTGACTCAATTCTCTCCTGCAGCAACTTTGAAATTTGAACTTTGTACTTAGAGCCGTGGCCTGAGATTTTGTGTGGTCATGTTACAAATTATATTTGCAATGGAGAAGTTATTCAGCTTTTTTGAGATAGCATTCACCTTGGGAGTGGTTACTATTAGCAGAGCCTCACTGGATTCTAAACAGACAAAATGGTGCAACACTGTAATGGTCTGGAGCAGAGTACAGCAGAAAATTCCCTAAGAAAAGCCTCTGCTGATATGATATGATATGATATGATATGATATGATATATATGTGATATACATATATATATAGTGTACATTATTAAATCAATGTCAGTTCCACAATTATGCTATGTTTTTGCAGGTGGGATATTGAAGAGTTCTGCTTTTGGCTTCAGTATTAAGTTACTGTGTGACCTTGAACCTGCCACTTGCCCTCTCTAGATCTTTTTCCCTGCACACAGAAAGAAAACTGAATCTTGCAGGAGAACTCCTTCAGGGCTTCTCTGCCATGTTTACTGTTGCATTCCTGTCACTGCCACAAACAGTTGATACAGTTGAGACATACTTTAGTTGATAGAGAAAGAAATAGGTTGATTTATGGCTTCCATATATGCACACACATGTGTAAACACACACACACACACCATCACTGCCAGATGACCACCACTAGGTCCCTTTCACTAGAAGTGTGATGCTGGTCATTTTAGTTCACACCTATGGTCATCTGCTCTACCTTATGGTACCCAGGAAAGAAAGGCACAGATGCCTCAGATGAGTCAACATATGGAATGGCCAACTTACATTTCATGTTAGAGATGGAGACATTGAGACAGAAAGAAGTTAAGATAAGCACCTTGTCCTACTTCTACTACCATCATACAGTTGGGCAGGGACTAAGCTAAAGCTTTAACCCAATGAGCATCATATCATTTCCCAGCTACCCTGTGACACCAGGTGAATGGACTGCCAGAAAATATATATATCTATATGTCTTCCATTGTCACAGTTTCCCTGTGAAGGTCTCACCTCTCTATATACCCATGTGTACCTGGCTTCTAGTGACATTTTTTTCAGAGATGATTTGTTGAGCTGTTATCTTGTTGTAGTTTTGATCTGCATTTCACTGAAGATTTTTACTAGCACTGAACCATTTTCATATGCTCCTTGGTCCCTCCTACATCTCCCTTGGAGGAATGTCCATTTAAGCAATTTGCCAATTTGTAAACATGCTTATGTTTAATATTTGGTTTGGGGTTTTGTTTCATTGTAGGAGTTCCTTATGCATGTTGGATATTAGCTCTTCATCCGATCACAGTTGAGAATGTTTCTTCTATTTCTTCCATTGTGTTTGCATGGCCTGTCCCTTTGCAGGACAGGTGCCTTCGTTGACACAGCCGTACTTGTCTCTCTTCTTTTGGCTGTTGTG